TGGGCTCAGGAGGGGTGGGCTCAGAGGGGTGGGCTCAGGAGGGCTGGGCTCAGGAGGGGTGGGCTCAGGAGGGGTGGGCTCAGGAGGGGTGGGCTCAGGAGGGCTGTTATCCAGCTGTTGTGTTGGTGGAGCTCTGGTTTCTCCTGGAGGAGAGGTGGGTTGGAAAGGGGGCAAGGATGGGAACAAAGGAGGCAGTGGCCACACCCCAGGGGAGGGGCAGGGCTTGGGTGAGGATGAGGCTCCATGGGCAGAGTGAGGTAGCCCCTGCTACACAGACTGGCAGACAGAGCAACCAGACTGACTCCTCACATAAGCAGCTGGATGCTGAACTGAATGACAGCAGCTGCTTACCTTAGAGGAAGAGGGGGTTAGCACATTTGTTGAAATACTTAGGTATCCAGTAGAATTCCAGGGGAGTTTAGACAGTGAAGTAATGCTGAGAGACAGAGCTATTCTCCATTGGCCGCTCACCAAATTGACCGGTCCTTCTTCCAGGCCTGGTTAGGTCATTATATTTCCTGTGCAGGAGCACTGGGTCACCATGTCCCTGCTGGCCTTGGTGGGGTCAGCAACGGGGTCGGGGCGGGGGCTGTCCCAGGGTAGGTGAGAACCTAGGGAGGGCAGTGGGCAGGCTGGGCTGAGCCCTCTTCCTTCCAGCCCTCTTCCGTCACACAGGACGCTGCAGCGCTTTGCTGTGCCACTCCGGCTTTTTCATTCAGAGTCAGAGCTAGGGAGCCATTTGTCACTCTGCTTCCAGGGGCAACTTTATTCAGAAATCAACCACTGCCTGGCCCCGGGGCCAGTGTCGGGAGTCAGCGGGGGCTTGTTCTGGCCAACAGCCCTCTCCTCCATCACAGTCACCCCACATCCAGCGGGGGAGGTGCTAGAATGATCTGTTCCTGTTTCCTTCAGAGTCTGCACAGAATGCTTTGGATTCCCGAGAGCTGGCTTCCTTTGTGTGTTGTCACTGACTCCAGACCAGCTGCTCGCAGCACAGCCTGGGAGACGTTTCCCTTTGCACTCAACGACACAGGTAAAACAAGCCATCCATACAGCTCACCAAGGCATGAAGTCCAATAGAAGTACTGAGTCAAATAGAAACCACCACTTTCTGAGAAGGCAGGTGGTACTGGGTGGGGACGTTTCACTCGCTGGTCTATTAGTGCCTGTGCCAGAAATCGCAGGCTTCATGGAGGGGCCCCTCAGAGAAGCCCCTTGGGAGGTTATACTCTCATTCCAAAGCTTTTCCCACACTCAGAGCACATTTGGAACTCCCTTCTCTTGGCAATGGCCTTTAGATTCCATTTAAGCCACATCAGAAACCCCATGTCGTTTTTTAGAAAAAGAAAAAATCTTATATATAATCTACCAGATTTGACCCTGAATTATTTTTTCTATTTTCTAAGCCCATTAAAACACACACACACATACACACACACACGCACACACGTGCACACACACGCACGCACACACACACGCACACACACACAACCCATGATGGTCTGGAAGCAATGACTCCAAAGCCTTTCATCACTGAAATAAGGTCATAAGGGCATCATTCCATTGGATATGTATTTAATCTTATTGAAAGTTTATTCCGTATTTATATACAGAAAGTGCATCAGCCATATGTGTACAGGTTGAAGAATATCTACCTGGTGCATACAGCACCCAGGTGGAGACACAGAACAATATTCATGCTTGGATGTCCTCACAGATTACCCTGGATGGCTCACCATCAAGTGTGTGTGAAGTCTTTAGCCCACACCATCCAGAATAATCACCACTCTGACCAAGATTGGGACAGGGTGAGGCACCTGGGGTGCACAGTTTAGGAGGCCTCCCCTCTCAAGGTCAAGCACATCTAGCCCCTTGCATTTTTCTCTAGGTGCCTCACAGGCCTGACCCATAACTGACTTCTAGCAGCACCAAGAGTTCTGCCTATTTCTGAGCTTCGTATAAACGGAATCTTCCAACATGCACTCTTTTGAGTCTAACATCTCTTGCTCAACATTATGGCAGAGATTCATATTATTGCTTGGAGTTGTAGTTTCTTCAGTCTTGTTTCTATGTAGCAGGTTCTCAAACTTTAGCCTGCACCAAAGGCACCTGGAGGGCTGGCTAAAATGCAAGATTGCTAGCCCCAGCCCCAGAATTTCCGACCCAGGAGGTCTAAGATGAAATCCCAGGGAATGCTAACAGATTGCCCTGTGATACTGATGCGCATTTCATTTTCTGAGACAGGGCCTTGCTCTGTCGCTCAGGCTGGAGTGTAGTGGTGCAATCATGATTCATCGCATTCTCGACCTCCCAGATTCAAACGATTCTCCCACCTCAGCCTCCTGAGGAGCTGGCACTATCAGTGCATGCCACCACTCTAGGCTAATGTTCGTATTTTTTCTAGAGCTGAGGTTTCACCATGTTACCCAGGCTGGCTGATGCCAGACTTTTGAGAACCACAGATGAATAGCATTCCATTATGAGAACATCCCGCCTTTTATTGGCTGATTCAAATTTTCATGGGCAAATAGGTTTCTAGGTTTAGACAATTATACATTGTGCTTCTGCAAACAATTTTGTACATGTCTTTTGGTGCGCAATGCATGCACTTTAGACGGGTGTATCCTAGGAGTGGAATTGCTAAGTCATGGACTATGCATACAATCGGCTGCAGATAAACACTGCCAAGAAGTTTTCCAAAGTGGTTGTATCAACTTACTGGGTTGGTACAAAAGTAATAGCAATTTTTGCCATTCCTTTTAATACATTCCCATCAGCAATTTACGAGGCTTCCTATTGCTCCACATCCTTGCCAGCACTTGTTATCTATTATTTTTATTTAGACATCCTGGTGAGTGTGTACTAGTATCTCGTCATGGCTTTAATTTGCTTCTCACTCTTCATGGGTATCCAACCTCATCACAGGTCCCCGTTGAGCTGTGGACTTCAGCTTCATGTCACCAAAGTCCTCCATGATGATGATGATGGTGGTGACCTGCTCCACACAGCCTCCTGGGACCACAGCACCCATCCCAAGATGACCCACTGGGTCAGAGGCAGCCACAGGTTTTCCTTCTCAGGCAAGAGTCCTTCCTTTCAAAGAAACATCTCTGCGCTCACCATTGCATTCCCCCCTGGATGTCCAAAATCCTGAATGCCACGGCGGGACTATACAGCAACATCAATCTCTTAAAATTGGATTCAGGGCCAATCCAATTCTGAGGATTGTGTTTCTTGCACTGTAAACCTGCCTGCTGGTTACCATGCCAGAGTGGTGTGGGGCCAGGGCCCAGGGACAACAGGACCTGCACAGGCTCCCATAAGCAAGTAGATGCTGGAGGCTTGTGTTCGGAATTGGGGAGGGAAGGGTCAGGGGCCAAAAGTTTACCACAAGTCGCCAAAAGGGTTCACAGACAGACACAGAGGCTGGCAAGGAAGTGTTGAGGGCATCATGCTAGAAGAGGCTTGGGACCAGGCCAGCAAGGCAGGCACCAGGATGTGCGGCTTGAAACCTTCTCCTAGAACGTGCTTGCTTTGCATACCTAAGAAACTTTTTCTCATCACTTGTGTGATCTTCACTATAGATGTCTTGGCCCAGCTCTGATATAATAAGCTTCACTCTTCTAAGGGCTAATACAGTTAAAGCACACGCGTGCACACGTACGTGCACGTGCGCGTGCGTGAGTACACACACACACACACACACACACACTCCTCTCTGGCCAAAGTGGTAGATAAAAAAATGTCCTAGGCTGGGCACCCTGGATATATGTCCATTGCAGTTAATTTTGAACTTTCCATGTTAATGAAGCGATCAGAGATGGAAACAGAACACTTGAATTTATTTGTTTTACTTTGTAGAGTGTGAGGAATTTTCTTCTGTCGGCGACTCTGCCTCCTTTTCATGTTTTGCCAAGTCTAGTGTTATACTTCTTATTTTCCTGCACATGTATCAGCGGCAGGGGCTCTGGGCAATGGCGGCAAACCAGCTAAATATTCCAAGTACACAGCACATGGTGGACAGCAGGCATGCCAGCCAGCCTTGTGGGGAGTGGAGCGCTCTGCATGCCAGTCATAGCAGCTTTCCAAACACGGCCTTCTCACTCCTTTTAACAAGCATGCTCTCCTCTCCTTGGCTCTCTTGACTTTTTATTTCCTTGCTTGTTTCCTGGAAGCTTCATTTTCGGCCGAGCTATGGAAAGGCGTGGATGTCCTCCCTGCCTTCTTCCTCATTCCTCCCTGCTGATTAACTTCCCGGGCATCCTCCATGAATTGCCATCATCCTCACAATTCAGTCTAAAAGGCGAATACTTTCGAACCTTGCCAATGATCACTGTGTTTCTGCTAACTGTCTGGTTTAGATCATGTATTGCTTGGGCATATACGGATTTCTCCTCATTTACCAGTGGTAAAAGTTAAATATGAAAAATCAAAATTTAGTATTCCAAGAAAATAATCATGGATATAAGCAAAGGCTACCAAGCTGTTCATCATGACACTGTCTTCTACAATAGCAAGGATGGTAATAAAACTTAGAAAGGCCCTAAATATCCATCTGTAGAAGATTAAGATATATTCTTGCAATATGAGATTAAAAGCCATACAAATGGTGCTACAGAACAATATTTGATGATGTAGAGAGTTGTTTATGACAGATTATTGGTGAGAAAAAGTTAAAACCAATATGTGTAAGACGGTCCCATTTTTGTAAATGAATCCAAACTGTACATCTATAGTCACAGAAAGAAAAAAAATACCCCGCTGTGAATAAGAAATAACAAATGTTAACATAATCAGCTTTGATTGCAGGGGACGCGTTAGATTTCATTTTCTTATTTTTCCTGGTCTACATTTTCTACAACATTTGTATACAAGTTTTTCAATAAGAAACAAATGACAGCTTTCAAATTTTTTAAATTAAAATTTTTAACAAATAGAGACATAGTCCTACTAGGAATCCAAAGGGGGGCAGACAGGTGATCAAATGCTCATTCTGAATCAACAGTGTGCTACTAGTAAGCTCCATGATGAGGCTCTGACCTTTTCACATGGATGCATAGTTTGGATTTCATCTGAATTAGACTGCAGGAAACCACAAAGAGGCCCCTTCATGGATTAGACTCAAGTTTAAAGAATAGATGCTCGATGATGCACTGAATGCTTAAATTCTTTGTCAGGGAACAAGGAAGCTTGTTCCTGATTGGTGGCTGCATTAGTCCACTAGGGCTCGCATGACACAAAGCCACCGCTTGCGGGCTTCAGTAACAGGCATTGATTGTCTCCCAGTGCTGGAGGCTGGACATCCAAGATCAAGGAGTCTGCAGGGTTGGTCTCTTCTGAGGCCTCACTCTTGCCTGACAGACGGCCGCCCCGCCTTCTCATTGTGTCCTCACGTGTCTCCTGTGCACAGGCCCCTGGGGTCTCTATGTAATTCTCTCTCTTTTTTTTTTTGAGACAGATTCTCACTCTGTTGCCCAGGCTGGAGCGCAGTGGTATGATCTTGGCTCATTGCAACCTCCGCCTCCTGGGTTCAAGTGAGTCTCCTGCCTCAGCCTCCCGAGCAGCTGGGATTACAGGCCCATGCCACCATGCCCAGCTAATTTTTGTATTTGTAGTAGAGCTGGGGTTTCACTACGTTGGCCAGGCTGGTCTCCAGCTCCTGAATTCAAGTGATCCACCTGCCTTGGCCTCCCAAAGTGCTGAGCTTACAGGCGTGAGCTACCGCACCTGGCCATAATCTCTTCTTATAAAGATACCAGTCAGGCCGGATGCAGTGGCTCACGCCTGTAGTCCCAGCACTTTGGGAGGCCGAGACGGGCAGATCACCTGAGGTCAGGAGTTTGAGACCAGCCTGAACAACCTGGTGAAACCCTGTCTCTACTAAAAATACAAAAATTAGGCAGCCATGGTGGTGGGTGCCTGTAATCCCAGCTACTCGGGAGATTGAGATAGCAGAATCTCTTGAACTCGGGAGGTGGAGTTGCAGTGAGCCTAGATCACGCCACTGCACTCCAGCGGCAACAAAAGCTGAAACTCCATCTCAGAAAAAAAAAAAAAAAGACACCAGTCAGATTGGATTGAGGCCCACGCACCCTCACAGACTCATTTTAATGTAGTCACCTCTTTAAAGGCCTTACCTGCAAATACAGTCGCATTGTGAGGAACTAGGGGTTAGGGCTTCAACACATGAAGCTTTGGGGGACACAGTCCAGCCCATGACAGTGGCTACCCTGTTTCCTAGGTGAGAAGAACCTCAGACAAACAGGAAGGGAAACGCTGCCTGACTTCACCATCACATTTCCCTGACTTTGTTTGCATTTTCCCCTCTGTCCACCAGAGGGCAAACTTCTAAAGTGCTTATTTGAAAATTCTTGGTCCCTGGGATTGTTTTCATGAACCCTGATTTTTAACCCTTTATAGCCTAAGCAGTTTCACTAAATAAACAATTGTTGGAAATAGAAAACACTGTGCTGTTTAGTAACATCACGTATTATCAGCTCAAGTCTCAACAGATCATTCTTCCCTTTCTTTGAAAGTCGAGGCTCATATACTGACAGTTTTCCATTACTGGATTTGAATGTCTCAACAACTTTAAAGTCAGTCGTACAAAAAAAGCAAGTCTTTGCTCATATTTTTTTCATCAAAACTCATACAAGTTTAATTTCATTACGTCATCTTCTAAGCATCTTATGAGATACTTAAAGAGGTATCATGCAAGAGTGGATAGAAAATGAAATCTGAAGTTAGAGGGCCTGGATTTATTTATTCATTTATTCAATCATTCATCCAATCAACAAACATCTGTCGTTTCCAACCAGGGACTGAGCTGGGTTCTGGGTTCAAGTCCTCATTCTGCCACTTGGCGGATATCGGTACCATGAGCATGTGAAACTCCCAGTATTTCTGCCTCCTTGTTCGTAAAAGGGGAATAAGGCTGAACTTAAAGGACTGTTTTAGGACTTGTTGTGGTCAGGCGCTTTGAAAGGTTTGGAAAACTTCAGTGTGCAAAGCCTGTCCATCGTTACATATGTGTCGTGGCTAACCTCCACGTTGGAGAGCAGTTTGTTAAGTGTGTGCAGAGCCCACCTGCTTCTGACCTGTGGGCTATGTACATGGGTGGGAAGGGTGGTGGGCAGGAGGTAGCTTAACCCAAACATTTTAATTGAGCATCTCTGGGAGTAGTGTCTGGGAAAACCCACCTGCTAATACATTCACCAGAGAACAACAGCTTCATCCAGGGCTAGCGCCTCACTGCAGCACTGGTGACATCGGGGCTGGACAATTCGTGGCTGTAGGGGGCCACCCTGTGCATTGCAGGGTGCTGACAGGCATCCCTAGCCCCCACCCAGTAGGTGCCAGGCGTATACCTCCCCACTTTGCCAGAACAAACATGTCTCCCGACATTGCCAAATGTCCCTTGGGGGACAAAATCACCCCCGCTTGGGGACCACTGAGCTACAGAGATTAGATTGGTCACATTGTTGCCATCAAGCAGAGCCACAATTCAGCCCTGTCCCCTCTCCTGGGTCCAGTGCCCTCAGTCCAGCCCTCCCGACTGGTCTACACTGGCTTTAGAAACCCATTAGAAACCCACGTAGCTTTACTTAGAAAGCTAAGTAAAATCAGCAACTTTCTATGTAAACTGATAAAATATTTTCAAATAGTGCAGAAAAGGAAGGCTCTTAAGGCTTAGGTCATTGCAAATAAGATGCCAATACATTAGAAGTGAGCAGTGAGAATTCCTGGAGCCTCCTCAGGCTGAGGTCACTGTGGTGGAGGGTCCCTAGCAGGCTTCAGCAGAGCCCAGGTCCCCGACCGTCCACCTTACGTCGGGCAGCGGGTTCCTGTTGCGTCTGCTCCCTCTGAAGTGCTGGTGAGGTCTGAGGGCCCCGGCCTTCAAACAGTGCTGCCCTTCCAGAGCCTGGCTCAAGCCTCAGGACTCGTGAGACTCACGCTGGGAGGGAGAGCCTCTCCCCTCCTGTGACACCCTCTGCTCCCTCCCACGGTGGCACCGGATGCGTGATCACACATGGGTTTCTGCACACCCCTCCTTCATTGGATGAACACCATGTGCCAGTCATCCTTGACATAGATGAGCCCAGTGAACACACACATGTCCCCTCAGAGGTGGGTGTCATGATGAATTCTGGTTTATGAGTGAGGAGCAGGCGTTCAGCCACCTGCGCCCACAGTCACAGGTGAGTCCCGATCTTCCCCTGGACTCATTGCTTTGGCATCTCTGCACCCACCGGTCAGCCACCTTGTATAATCTACCTGATCCAATGACAGCCTCCACAGGGCGGGAGCCGTGGTCTAGGAGGCTGTCAGTATCCGCCAAGGCGCTGCTGATGTACGTAACCCCATGGATTGGCTTAGTGGTTTCTCTGCTCTCTGCTGGGAAGGTATGTACTTGGTCTCTTGAAAAATCATCAGGGAACTAGGGACTCGGTGTCTTTGTTGCCGCTCATGGAAAGGGCTGTTATTAGTGTCACGATCGTGCAGTTACATCTATGGAGATGGCCCTTCTCCTGGGAAAGCCATGGAAGTCTTTGTTTGTGTGGCTTTCTTACTGTTTAGTGGACAAAATGGAAGCAGCACTTAAAATCTCAAGCTGGAGATTCCATCCCTTAATTGTTTGGGATACAGAGAGTCTGTGAAACACACATGTATCAAGAGGGAAGCTGAGCTGAGCACCAGTCAGAATTGACGACGGGCCAGAAATCAGCAGGCTGAAGGGAAAACAAATATGGCTTCAACGAAAAAAAGAAAACTGAGAATCAGATGCGAACGCGCTGAAACCAGCACAGCGCGCGGTACCGTGGCGGGCAAAGCGGGTGGGAAACGGGTCACAGGCCTTCGGGTTCCTCGCTGTACGAGAGACACACTGCCATTGCCAACTGAGTGGGCCAGTAGCTTGTGAGTAGCTTGACATATTCATACAGAAATATTCTTTCTGTCCTGTGTCATCTGTCTTTTTGCTCTTACTCTTTTCTGGAGCCCTTAAGAGCCTTCTACCTTGTTTGTGCCCTTCACGAGGAGCGTGCGGAAACCTATGTGCGATCACATGTCCTGTGCCACCGTGGGAGGGAGCAGAGGGTGTCACAGGAGGGGAGAGGCTCTCCCTCCCCGCGTGAGTCTCACGAGCTCTGAAGCTTGAGCCAGGCTCTGGAAGGGCAGCACTTTTGGAAGGCTGGGGCCCTCAGACCTCACCAGCACTTCAGA